AAAAAATAAACAAACTACCTCAACGGGCGTGTATCCCTTTAGTCAGGCAGATCCCCCTCAAACAAATGTCTTACCCCCTAAAATGAAACCTGCCAAAATAACTGGACATCTTACTGAGGTTCTGCTGTGCACCACACTGGCAGGCTGTGATCTTCTCCTGTCTGTCTACAGTCAGCATAGAGCTCAAACTCCTCCCTCGCTCCCTCTACTAACCAACCAATCAGTGATCAATTTCTAAAGGAGCCAACAAATAGTCTGACTATCTAGCAAACTGAGAGATAAAGCCGAATTGGTGAACCTTAAAGAAACAGAAAAGCTCCAAGTAATTCATTATTGGGATTTATGCTGCGAGACACAATATAAATAGTTCACTTTATAAAATACAGTATGCATAAATATAGCATCTATTTTTAAAATACATTTACAAATATGAGCCTGTTAGTAGAAGTGTCTCTCAATCACATCAGCACAGAGAGTGACCAGTGCATAGACCATAACACCGTTTTTAATGCTGTTTTAGTGAATAATACCAGAAATGTTTACTAAGCTTTTCTCATTTTGCACTCTTGGGATTTACAGCTCTGTTTATTTTCTCCTTGGTGATTTCAAAAAATGTCGAGGAGTCAACTGGTTGCTGATCATGTTAAAACTTTTCTCAAATTAGTTTAAGACACATAATGACAATCCAGTAAGATAAATGTTGTGTTAGCAGTTCAATCATGGATGAAGGATATCCTAATTTTTCTTCCTGTTATGTATTATTATTTTCTGTATGAGGGAGGGATTGCTGCTTTGTCGTGGTCAGATGGCCCTGTGCCTAAAAGGTGTAAGGAACTGTACTTGTAGGACTTTTGCTTCAGGTGGGACACCCAGCCTTGGCAGGTCTGGGTAGAGGCAATCAATTTTTGTAGAGCTGAACACAGTTTATTTCATTTTATATTAGTTCTATGCAATTTATTCATTGAGAAATGTGAATAGTTATTGTAACAACTGGAAAAATCATGAATAAAAAGAAGCAGAAAGAAATAGAAACGTATATGTGCCCCCAATTTGTATGAAAAATGTGTTATTCAGATTAGAAAACTATTACTGACATAATTCAAATACACAAAAATACCTTAAAAACATAAAATTGCTTATTCAATGGCCAACATCACCTTATCACAATGGTTTTCAAAATATTGAATTAACTATTTTTTTTTTATCTCAATGTCAATATTTTTCCTTTAAACTGAAACCTATAATTGAAACGCTTCTTTCCATCATTGTTGTTCTGAATCTATTCTATTTTTTTCAGCTGTTAGCTCTGCCTCCACTCCCATGGAGAAAACATAAGTGAACAATAACAATTTCTATGCTGGAGATTAATGAGTACAGATAAAGATATCTCCTTCACATTTCTGCCTTCCCTGACATATAACTACCATTAGAACCAGCCCTGAATCAAACATTTATATAGATAGTTTATTATGGGTTTAATTTAAATGAAATCACAAACGATTTCTTAAAATAATAATTAGAATTTATGAACAGAAAAAATTCAACCCAACCTTGCCCTGTGGAAACATATATATCCTTTTGGGTATATCATGAATAAAACACTAATTACTTGCATCGTTTAAAGCTTAGTTATTAAAGAGATGTTCCAAAGGCAAAAAGCAGTGTAAGCAAAAATATCATAGAAGCTCATTTGACATTCATCAAAAATACTTTTTAATGATCCAGAGGATATTTAAGAGAAAAATTCTAAGGTCTGACATTAATAAAGTGAAACTTAAAAAAAAAAAGTCTTTGTCCTGTTAATCTGGTATAACACAACCCCCCTTTTTAAAAATAGGACCTCCTTGATCTTGAACTTAATCAAAAAGGGAGGATTACACATTAATCTAGAAAATTAGTTACCAACTTAAAGGCATACTGTGCAACATTTTTCAGTTAATTAATGTGTTCCATAACGTTTTGGATGATTAAACGAGTCATTTCAGGTCGAACAAAGGTTTTCTCGACCACCCTGGTGGTCTGTAGGGGAAATACCGTACTTGCAATTGCAGGAGCCCTCGGCCCGCACCCACAGGCTCAGAAGTCTCGTGCATCGCGAGAGTCGGTCTTGCTTTACGGCGAGAACTGCTACACGCCCCCAGTGAAAGGCATGCTCGTTGCTAGCACAGTGGCGATATTTGTGCAGTTATCATGGCGGAACCAGTGAGAAAACAGCGAAAGCCCATGTCGGAAACATGCTAAATTTTCAAACTCGAAAACTGGAACAAAATAGTCACTTACCGCAGTAGACATGGTGATTCGTTGCGTTCGCCTGTCTGCTAAGCTCAAAACAACCACGCCTGGCTTGACGGAGAAACCAGGAGAACAGCTGAGCATATTTGCGACAGTGCACTTTTACTTTCACCCTCTGGGGGGAGCCTCACTGGAAAATCAACACCGGTTGCATAGTATACCTTTAATGTCAGTTATTAGCTCCAAAGGTGGATTTAGGGAGGGATCCGATCTTCATATAGGTTGACTTGGTTTACATAGAGTTTATTCTCTTAATAAATGTAATCATGATTTGAAATGATTGGCAGAAGATCAGATCAGTCTGTCTAAAGATTAGCTGGAGGAACTATTCTATAAACCATTGAGAAAGTAAATCTTTACAAAATATTAAGCTAAACGATATTTTGCTGAACAGTCTAATTAACTGATATTGGTCTGAAGGTTATCTATGTGAGATCAGACCTCATATAAAGCTCTTAAATGAATATGTTTGATATTAGGAGACTGGACACATTTGGAGATAATTTGTGTAAAGAATTACATTTCAAATTCTGTGTCTGTTTTTCACGGTCTTTAACATTTCTGTTTGGACTATATTACTTATTTTAATTTGACCAATTTTTTCATTTTTTTATGATAACACAACATATCAATAAAAATAGGCTTCTCTACTCATTTTAACATTAGGTTGATCTGTTTTTAAGTCCAAGAAGTCTTTAATCGTGTCCCTCAATCATTTTCACTGAATTTCCTTTAACGCCCAAAGGCAGAAAGTAGTAGGTTTGAATCCCAGTCTGAAACTTTCTGTATTGAGCTTCCATGTTCTGTGTTGATGTGTGGGTCTCTCTGGGTACTCCGGCTTCCTCCCCCAGTCTAAAACCATAACAGGTTAATTAATCTTTTTGAAATTGTCCTGAGGTATTATTTGTATTATTAGTACCAAGATTGTCTGAAATGACCAATGACCACTACAGATAGGCACCCAAACACCACAACCCTGCAACGCTATGTGGCTGTCCGGAATGGATGGATTGTTTTTCTTCTCCTTAATGTTTTTTTCTAAAGAAAATGTCACATCTTGTGGTGTAAAAGACACCAGTGGTCAAGACTGACCACTTCACACTCAGCTGTGTAACCTAGAGCCTAGAGTTGTACAGCATCTGATGATCGCTATAGCTTTAAACAGGATAACAAAATGCTCACAAAAGGCATCCAGCTTCATCAATCCTCTGTGAAAATAGTAAATGCAGAAGAGTTGCAGCTTTTCATGCTGATTCAATCTGACAGAATTTAAATCTCCTGACCTGAGGGATCATTTTTATGGGCTCAGTCTGCGGCATGCAGATGGGTGGAGGGTCCTTTGTGTGGTAGATCGTGATGCATCTGAGAGCTGTGTGGGTTTTTCTTTGTATTTGTTTATGTTTGATGATGGAGCAGTAAAGGGCAGAAAGCCCTCCTAGACAAAATGAGCAAGCAGCCTTCATCTTCTTATCAGGAGCCCTATCTCTCCTCATCTGCAGTTGTTTTCTTTTCCAACACAAAGAGAAGGGAAGCTCTGCAAAATAAAGGGGATTTCTTTTTATGGTTCTCATCACTGACAAATAATACTTTGTACCTCTACATCTAAAGGAAACTGATAGTCACATTGCTCAATCACTCACTTTCCAGTGCACACAAACACATACACGCACACAGCTTTGTTTTCATGACATATGGGGACATTTCATTGACGTGCATTCATTTTATATAGCCTAACCCAGACCCTTACCCTTACCCTAACCCTAACTATTACCAAGATGTACCTAATCCTAACCTAAACTGAATTCACACCTTAGTCCCCAACCTAACCCCAACTCAAAGAAAAGAACTTTACCATATAGGGACCAGTTGAATGTCCCTATATGTACCTGTAAGTCCTCGCATGTAGGATATTTTTCAAAATACTTCCCTGACATTGTAGGTAAAACAAGACCACACACACACACATACTCGTTCTGCCATCGTAGTGAGGACCATGTGTTGACTCCCATTGACTTTCTTTGATTTTTAGTCATTTACAACCCTTTCTATGCCCTAACCCTAAAACTAACCATTACGAATGCATACCTCACCCTAACCCTAACCCAATTGAGACCTTAGCCCTAAACCCATCCAACAGCAAAATAGCATGTAAGTAGTGGCAAAATATCCTCACTTTGCAACAACTGGTCCTAAATTGGACTGTGAAATTGAAAAAATGGTCCAAACTCTGAGGGCTAGACAGGTACACCCACACACACGCACACTCACCCCTTCACACATAGAGACTCCAGCCCTCTGGCTTTTCTCGATGACTTCATGCTAGGTCAGAATTGCCCCACACTTGAATGCATTTCCATCATGTTTTCCCTGATGTCCGCCCATCATGCTTCAGTGTCTGCTCATACATACTGTCAGTGGCGTATGTATTCACTGCAGTACCCACAGACATCAGTGTTCATGTTTCATGCATGAATGCATAAGATTTTTACTTGTGTGGCGGGCGAAGGAAGTGTATTTCAGTTTGTGCATTGCATTTCTCTGTTAGGATGAGCTTGAGCAGGCAGAGTTGGAGCAGGCAGGAGTTAAAAAGGCTTCTGGATGCAAATGAGGGGTTTGGGGGGGATTGGATGTGGAAGGAGTTGGGCTTTGGTCTTGAGACCCCCTTATAGTCTCAGATGTCTCAGGGCCTGAGCCTGAGAGCCACATACCCTTTTCTGGGTAAACATCCTCACTAGTGGTGAATCTCACCCCCTTCCCGCCGAACACTGGCCCACAGACGGGGCAGGAGGAGGAGAAAGGAGAGAAACGCAGAAATAAAAGGTTTACAGGGATTCAAGTTCAGAAGAGTTATAACAACAGACCAACATGTTTTAGCATTTTTATGACAAAGAAAAGTCAAACTGTGGTATTTTGCTTACTGATAGTTTATTTTCTTTTTTATGTAGCATTGTGCAGACCTTTTGTCATAGCTTAGACGATTAAAGACATTTCTGTAAAATATTCCTTAGCGTGCCCAAAGTGCTGGACGACATTTCGCTGAGTTAATGCTAATTGTTTTAACTAGCACCCCTAAGACCAGTCCTGAGGGACAGCATGACAGCTTCCACACTGACAAGGGCAGCAGGGCAGGACTGAGCACCAAAATAGGGAGAGATTAGAGGCGGTGTAACTATATCAAATCAGAGTAGTTTTAGCTTTGCCTGTGGTTTGGTAACCAAAGAGCTCAGAATAGCTCAGAATAGCCAATCTCTGTTACCGGTATCTTTATATACACAGGATGCACAACATGTTTAACTGGGAGACACTCAATGACAGCAGACATCTAAGAATAGGGACTAATTGAAAAAACCCTGAATTCATATCTTAAAATTACTCACATCAGAACCACAAACTTTAAGGAATTTTTTTGGAAGTTGTGAATCCTTTAACCTAAAGCATAGTTTTGAAATATCTTTTTAAAACTAAAAATCTGAAAAGATTAACAGATGGATTCTTCTCTTAACTGATCCAAACTGTAGTTCTGGCTGTAAGTTTGGGGTTGCAGTCTTGAACCTCTGCTCATTAGAGTTCCTTAAACCATTTCCCTCTATTTGCTACATCTATGTTTCAATAAACTGATTTCCCTGTCCCTGCTGAACCAAAGCATTCCCACAGCATAATACTGCCATCTACATGTTTCACCATGGGAACAATGTTTTTAGGGTTATGTGCAGTGTTAGCTTTCTGCCACCCAATTTTTGTTAAAAGAGCCAAACAGTTAGATTTTGCCATCTTCTGATTTCAGCACTGTCTTCCGAAGACAGTTTTGACTCTCTGGACACTCCCATAAAGACCATGATGGTGTCATGCCAACACTCTGAGACGGGACACGATCATGTTAAAGGGGAATAAATGCTGCTGGCAGACAACAAATATCCACCAATTAGAAAATAATAAAAAGTAGACAAAAACAAACAGTTAGTTTACCTTGGGCGTGCTGGGACTGGACAAAAGTCTTAATGAGTTTGTCAGTGGCCTGAGTGTAGAGGGACAAAGCGTAGTGGAGAGATTGGAGGTCAGGACTTTTCTCCAGAAAAGTCTTCTTCAGACCCACACCTCCAGCATGGAAGTATTGCTATCAGAAAGAAAGAAATCAGAAAAGGATGATTTCTATTTTAAATTCAGACAGTTAACCAATGTAAAGTATGCCAAATGTTCTGCACCAAAGTTGCACTATTATTTACTCCTAACCCTCCTGTCTGATGGGATTTCAAAATCTAATACTGAAATGCCAATTTTACTTGGAATACATATTTAATTATTATTCATTTTCATTCTTATTTTCTTCAACCCAAGTTTTTTTGTCTCTCATATTTATAAAAAAAAAAAAAAAAAACATTGGCTAAAACTTGAAAAGTTTTGCTACATGAAAAAAAATCTTGAGAACAGGTTGGGAATGTCACATAAGACAGAACCAACCCTCTTTTTAGATTAAATATCTTAAGCTGTTTTTAAAATCAGATTTTTCCTTTTTAAATTCAGAATACAAATATGAATGTGAAATATTCCTAGTGACACGTTACATGAGAAAGTTCATAAACAAAAGTCAGACTACTTTTATGATGGGTTAGGGCTCATAGGAGGGAGAAGGGAAATGAGCATGAAGCCAATAGTCCATGATAGAAACCAAGTTTCTCTTTTTACATTTATTGCGTAAAACAAACACCTAATAACATTACATCAAAGTTGCATACATAATTGTTTCTTTTTAATGATGATAAATTTGGAAATATATCAACTTATCTAACAATCTGCTGAGTTTTTGGCAAAAAAACTGGATCTAAAGCAACAAAAAACAGATATAAAGTGTTACTATCTGCAGGACTTGATTGAATTGTGTGAGCCGGCAAGTATTTAGTTCAACATACTGTCAAATAGATTCAGAAATAAAGCGAATAATACTTGCAAACACTTGCCATTTGGGTTTTGTTCCTTGATAAACATTTTTTTTTAATAGGATGTAGTGGATTTGTACGAATAAAGAAAAAATGTAAACCATCCATTATAACGTAAACATATGTATTTAGCCAGGTTTACACTCCAGTTGCTTATAAGGATGAAGCTTAGGATGAAAATATCTGATATCCTAAGGATAAATTCTACAGTAGTAGGTCTCAGAACATTTACCTTGATGGTGTCCAGAGCCAACTCAATCACAGCACACTGTTTGGGTGATAATGCTTTGGCCTCCTCTCGAACCATGTGCTCCTAAATGGTAACAATTGGAATGGAACAAAGCAAAATTAATAATTTCTCTGATAATAAATGGTTTTATGTAACAACAGATTAAATTCATAAGTTAAAGCAGTGGTGTCACACTCCCAGATATAAATTCACTGCACCTTCAGTTTGGACAGCTGTCCGAGCTCCTTGGCTGCATTGAAGATGAGCTGAGTGCCCTGAAAGAGATGTAGGATAGGAGGGCAAGGTAGAAAGGTAGATAATTAAAACAAGAGTCATTTAGTTATCACGAGAAAGCAGCACTTATTGGGCATAGTCTCACACAGAGGACAGCAATGCTTCTGACACATACGCACTTACACTATAAACATTCACTCTAAGCGGCTTTACTCATGTCACGGCAGTTTCCCTTCAAGTGCTTCTATAACACTTATCTGTGTTTTATTCATTCCACAACATTACACTCTGCTGCACAAACACACACAGACATCTTAGTACTCAAAGGAGGAGGAGGAAACAAAGACAAAATCTCACAGAGACACATACACACACTATCAAAGAGCAGCTGTACAGTTAAACTGTGCGTGAGCAAAAACCATTAATGCATTACTCTGGTAAGGGCCCCACCCTCTAATCGTTGTTTCTAACTGCTTTAAAAGCTTGATGTTAAGATGCAACAGACTGATCTTAGGAGGCTTTTTTTGTCTGATATTCCCAATTAAAGCAATAATGGTTTGCATAATGCCTGAGAGGAATTCACTCTTCTTCTATATTGTCAAACATTAAAATAATATTTGTCCTGTTGCAGCCGCTGCTTCAATAAAGCTTTATTACTTTTGAGTTAAACAAATAATCATATATTTAATGTACTTATCATTGCTTATTTCACTGAGATGCTGGTGTGGACTGAAAAAACACAGCTTCATAAAAAAAAACATCACTATTGCCATGAAAGTCCCATCATTTCTCCCTTTTATTTCTTTATCTTAATTGAATAATGAACTATTTTCTTTGCATTTAAGGCAGATTTTCATGACAATTAATTCTGATTATTGAGCATTCCTTTATAACATTGCTTTACTTGATTTTAGAGAAACCACACACTTTTTCTTGCTCCTAACAAGTTTCTGAAATACTCTAGGAAGGAGATTTGAACATTCTTCTCAGTAGAATTAAAAGTTTATATGAACTACGGTAGCTGGTTTCTGGTGATTAATTTAGTCTTTAATTTTATCCCATAGATTTTCAAAAGGAATGAGGTCAAGGCCTCATAGAAGCCTAAAGCAATCCTGCTCTATCCACTTCTACACCAGCAGTGATGGAAGGCTGCTATCCTTTTAGAATACCTATGAATTTTAATGTTTTAACCATTTGAACACTGATTTGAGGTGTATTTGAAACATTTCTAGGTAGCCTTCCTTTATTATTCCATCGTTTTCTTCTGTATTATATTGTGACAAATTTATGGCTGCTATGTATGCATATATTATCAACCTGCATTTAATAGTGTAACCCTCTGTAGAACAGAAGAAATATACACACTGATGTTTTTTGTGTTATAATTCTAATTCTAAAAAAATATGACATAAATAAATATATGAAAAACAAAACAAAAAATACGGCATAAAGTCACTTGCACAGAGGTCTGTGACTTAGAGGGGGAGAACACAGTCTAATAATGATGTCATACCGTTATATATAAAAAAAAAAATAATACCCAAAACAAGTTGCGAGCAAAATAAAAAGTAGAGAAACAAAATGTATATTTCTACAGCTTTGTTTGACTGAGGAGCTGAGAGACAGAGACACAGATAAAGGACATAAAGGAGAGAGACAAGACACATTGATCTGAATGGGTTTAGTCCTTACATCACTGTGAGAAGCACTCTTCAGCCTCCCCTGGAAAGAGAGTAGTGGTTAATACTTGGAGCAAAGCCCAGTCCCTGTTGTCTTATTTCCTAAATCAGAGGTATTCAGTGTTGCTTTGCAAAATGTTCAAAGGACACTCATCGCAGCCAGAGATGTTGCCTTTTTCAGGAAGTGATATTTTGCTCTCTAAAGCAACAACACATTTTGGGTTCTTAAATGACACAGAAATTATTCATATTTGACTCTTAGCCTAGAGGAATAGCTGTACAACAAGAATACCAGGATTTATACAAATATGCAGGTATGCATATTTTTTGAACTCCGCCTTTAATAGTAAAACAAAATGTATTGGATCTATAACATCTTACACCTTTATTCTCACTTAAAACAGCTAAAATATCCAACATCAGCCCATGATTAAATATATTTTACTTGTTATTCAAGGGCGGTTTGCACTGTTTAAAATATCAACATATAGTTTGTTATGCTCTTGATTTTTGTAGTGAGAGTGAACCTCATCTAAGGCCTTCAGAAAGAAGGCTGCAGGAGGCAGAGTCTGGTAAGAGAATAGAGCTGGATCAAAATATTTTCAAAATAGCCTACAAGCAGAGGTGGGTAGTAACAACTTATATTTACTCAATTGCATTTATTTGAGTGGTTTTACTGCATTGATATTTTTACTTTTACTTGAGAAACATATGATAAAATATCACCACTTTTAAAGGAGTAACATTTCTGGTTACTCCAGTAATTATAAGTAGCTTAACTTCATGAAAACAAGCTGGTTTTAAAAAAAATATGCATCATGAGAGACACAATTACTTCCTTTTTGCACTAAAGGCTTATTGGTTAAATGGTATATTTCATCTGCTGAGTCTGACGAGTCATTTGAAGGTTGAGTGAAAATAAAGTAAACAGTGTTCTGTAATTTAACATATTCTTACCTAGTGTAACTATTGAATTTGAAAGTTTTTTAAGTCAAGAAGAGTGAATTTATAGTGTTAATCACACCTAAAATTGTTATTGTGTAATTATTGTAAGTTATATGTTTATTTCTTATTCTTTGAAGCACCAGAATTTGCATTTCATTTAATATTTTGTTACATTTTACTTCATTTAATAAAATATTACATCAGTAGTTATGATCATGGTTAGTCAGTAGATCAATTACTCTGTACTTGAGTAGTCTTTCTACCAAGTACTTTTTTACTCTTACTTGAGTGATTTCATCAAAGGCTACTTTTTACTTTTACTTGAGTAAAAACATGATGAAGCAGTGCTAGTCTTTCTCAAGTACATATGTTGGGTATGCCCTACCCACCTCTGCCTATAAGTAAAGGAAATTCAAAGCAATTGCCAACATCCCCAGATGTGACAGATTTCCCCAGGAGAAGACCACAAGATGCTGAAAGAGGTCTTCAAAAGCCTGACTGCTTTACATGACTAAGGCTTTCATTTTACATCATAGGCCTTAAGGAGGAAAGTTGGATGGCCAGTAAAACAATGCATTAGGTTGGAGTTCCTTCGATTAAATTGGTGGTACGGTAGAATCAATTAAGGGAATGCATGGTGGTGCAGTTACAAGCACTGCCTTACAGATTAGGTCCCATTCAAATCTAAAGCAGGACCTTTCTGCAAAGAGTTGCATGTTCCAGCTGTCCATGCCTGGGTTTTCTGCTGGTATTCTGCCTTACTGCCACGTGTCAGAAAATATGCAGAATAGGTCAGTTGGTCACCCTTTAGAATGTGCAAATGCATGCACAATATCCTGGTCCTCTGAGTGTCTGTGTTCCCCAGTGATGGACTGGCAACTTGTCCTAGATGTACATCACCTTTTCGAGGTGTATGAAACAATTAGAGTTTAACTACATATAAAATGGAATAAACTGAATTTAGTGAAAATGCTAAAGTTAAAGGTTGAGGTAGGCCAACTTGTTTTTGCATTCCAGGTTAACTGTGTAAATTCTTCTTGGTGAGTTATGTTATTCCTCAGTGGACTGCAAAAATGTATTAGAACTCAATGCGGAAACTCTTAGACAAGCCATTACTTTATAAATATGTAACACTAAAAATTTTCTTCTTGTCTAAACACTTTCATTTTGGCTATTTGGCTATTAGACTATACACAGGAATAGGTCACGTGGAATAATGTGCAAGGTGAAAGCTAAAACAAAAATGGCATGAAGCCGGTTCGTGAAAACTTAAGCCATTTCAAATGGATTTTTTTTTTAATGAAGTGACATTTAGTGTGTCAGTACTGTATATAGCACCACATTGTTACAACAGAACATGAAACTAAACCAGGATGGTCCAACATGACAGGTCTGCCGAGACACAGTGCGGTACGGTGTTGTACAGCATACCGAGAGAAGACTGCAGAGTAAAATAGATCAGATGCAAGCAACAAACCCACAGTAACGAATAGGAGGGCAGGACAAAGTTTAAACGGGTAAACGAGATAGAGGACAAAGGAAAAGAGGGCAGGTGAGGGGGTTGAGAGTCCCAATACCAAGCCACCAAGATCAGGGTCACTCCAATGAAGTCCCATTAGCAGGAAACATTTAATGAGAAGAAACAAGGCAACACCTGGCGAATAAGAGAAGTACCACTTCCTGTTTGGGGATGAAGAGAAAGCAGAGAAGGGGGTACTGATAAATGAAGATCACTAAGGGGGGGCGGGCCTCTCAAACTTATTCAGGAATGCACCATGCTTCTGTCCTCTCAAACAAGAGAGAGTTAGAGGAAAAGTGAGAGACAGAGCAGGTCGGAGCAGTGACATCGTGAGAAGGGGGGTAATGGAGCTACATAAAAACGGGAGGAACAGGTGGCAGCCACATAAAGCAGAGAGTCGACCACTGTGACAGACAGACGGACATGAAGGAGTGCTGTACTTACAATCATCTGTGGAGGGAGAGCGGAGCAGGATGTAATAATAACCACAACAACAACCAGAAAGAAGGGTCAGTCAAGCGGCAAAGAGCCCCACATCAGGCAAAAGCACATGTTTGGGCTCCAAGGCTGAAGGTATGTGGACTAGTTCACACCTGCATGGGGTCTGAACTGAGTGCAGGTAAATACTAATGAAGCAGCCAAAAATAATTGGTAACACTTTCATGTAAAAACATGTAAATAACATAGCAAGTTACACTATATTACTAGGTAACAAGAAACACTTTATGGTGAATTTTAGTAAGTGCTGGGCCTCAAATTTTAGGCAGACAAGGTAAAGTCAGCCTTCTTAGATGTCAAACCAATATTTACAGGAAAATAATTTCACTGACAGCAATAAATTAAAGTGTTATCATCTAGTAAAATGGAGTTTATTACTTGGAATATAACAGAAAACCAAACCTGGAATACAGCAAGCCAATCTTCTTAAATAAACTATCTATATCTAACTTTAATTCAGTTTTATAATGCTTTAATTGCCTGATCACAAGTTACAAGTTACTTTGTAAGCTGTTGGTAGGTGGTGGCCAATAATAAAAAATATTATGTGGTAACCTTATGGTAATTACCCACCAAAAGTATCCATTGTTACATAATAACGTACAACTTTAATAATTACATGCAGGTAATTACCTGCATATATACCTTAATTTGGGGTAAAACCAAATAAAGTTTTTCCCGTTACCTAGTGATATAGTGCGACTTGCTATGTTATAAACATGTTATTACATGGTTATTGATGTACTGTAAAATAAAGTGTTACCAAATAATTTACTATTTACAGCATTACTTAGCAAATGCAACTATTAATTTAGCCTATTTTCACATATTTTTTTAATTTCAATGAACTCAGATTGAAAACCTTCAGAACAAAAGTATTCATACCCCCTAAACTTTTCACATTTGTCACCTTAATCCTCAGCATATCTTCTGGACACCCTATGTGGTTGTAAAGGTGTATTACAGTAAAACACTACATGCCTGCCAAACATTTACATAAATAAAGTCTTTAAAACAGGCAAGTATTGCTTTTTTTTTACACCTCATCCCAAAAGTCAATACATTTTACGACTCGTGAAGTTGGACCGGTTAGAAGAGCGAGGTGAGCGAGAACGCTGGGAAACTTTTTCCATCTAGACCCCCCTCGCAGAAACGTGCCCCCACTTCCTCACCGCCTCGGCCGTATCTAGACCCACAACTAGTTCCTGATTGCCCCTCTTTCGTTGTGGTGTGGAATAACATAGTGCAAACATCACTTCAATATTGGGCATAGATCAAAAATATCTGCGATAAGCTCACTGCTCCCCGCAGCTACCTACCATAATCGCTACCTACCATAAAGCTAATAAATTATTTCCCTCAAACGTAATAATCATTTCGTTTGCAACGACTTATTACGTTTGTGGGATATTATATATAATAATGTAGCAAAGGACCCCCCCCCCCCCCCCCCCCCCCCCCCCCCATTTAAAGCGTGTATCATTCGTTTATTCCTTTTTCAATTTAAAACCCACAATGAAAATATTACTAATAACTTTTCCCCTGAATTTTGTTACATAATAGGCCTACAGAAAAATTGGAGAGCATTTCCATTATTCTTTTTTTATTGCCGTATTTAATCAAATATATATATAAATAAGGAATAAATGCATTTCATTTTTATTTCATTTTAGAATCTTCTAGCATCTCAGCCTTCTGGACCCAAGTAGGTTGATGCTGTGTTGACAAGTTTTAATTCAATATACAAGATCAGCTGTTCTGGTACAAGCTACTCTCCAATCCCAGTAAAAAAAAAAAAAATCACTATGAAGTCAGTTTTATAAAAAAAAAAAAAAAAAAACATTTATAGATTGAAGAGTTGCATTTGGATGAATAAAATGTGTGTCCTTAAAGAAAGTTCTGCGAATTTCCATAATCAGCCCAACAGATGCATAATTAAATAATCCAAGAAAATAAAGGATATGTGTAAACCCATATTTAATCTATATTTACTCTATTGTTCTTCTTTAAAACTGCTGCTTTAAAAGTGGAATAGAATAGCTTATGGTTTCAGCGGCCCTAGAGGACACGTCCTCAGCAGCACTGGGCAGAAAAAAAAACGGATGTTTTTTTTATTACTTTTGAGACCTAATTTCAGACACATAGTTAGGTTTTGATTCATTCAAATTTGGATGGGTTATCAATAAAGCTTTTCTGTGATCTTACAAACTAAGAACACACATTTATTTCTGCTTTACACAAGAACTTTATTCCTGAGCTTTCCAGTGTCTCCATCCTGTTAGTCATTAAATACCTTTGATTAACAAACCTCTGTTGCTTTTAAAAATGGCTGCATTTATACAAACATTGAATTAAGTTGAATTTATTCACTAATTGTGTGACTTCTGAAGGCTTTAGAGCGCCAGAGTAAATGAACTATAATAAAAATGTATGCTACTCTGATAGATTTGGTAGTTTTAATGACAGAAAAGAATTCAGGGGTATGAAAATGTTCAGAAGGAACAATATGAGCAAATTATATAACCAGTATTTGTAATACTGTGTATCATAGCTAGATATATCATCTTTATTATCAGTGATATGAGGCTCTTTAGATTATAACCCAACATAAACAACATATACAAATATATATAAAACAAAGCAAAATAAGGAGGAAGGAGGCTGCTTTCCATAATGTAAAAGCCTTTTTGGAAGTAGGCCAGATCGTCAGGGCAAACAAATTTATGTCACACTGTTGCAAAGCTCTCATAAAGCAGGTTTCTCTCCAAATATTTGTAGGGGGACACTCTGGAGAGCAGCCATGAGCTGATGCTGAAATGATATGGTGTGATCCGTTTTCCCTGAGCTCTTTAGTGAAATACTTGATTTTGAATGCTTGCATGAACATAGGTACTGGCGGCAATGTTGCATACTTTGTGACAGAGCTGAGAAGAGGACTGGGTGGCATGTAAATGCAAAGCAAAAGCAGTTTGATCTTTTGTTTACAGAAGAGCCATCTTGTACAGCAACACACACACTGCCTGTTGTTATCCACCTCTTCCCTTTACTCTGTGGTTTTGTAAGCACATGTTTGGGCAAGTGTTGTGTTAATTATGCTGCTTTTTTTATCGTAGAAACGTTCACTGTGACTTGACCTTGCAGAAAAATATTCAGCACAGCTTATTTCAGCCATTTGCAAAGAGTTTCTGAGTGTATGAGAACTTATTTACTTGTAAATGTAAAGAAGGTATCTGTCTTTGCATGCAGTGATTATTTGCCATAATAAATAAGAGTTGAGGAAATGTATCTGTAGGTTTGATATAATTCTGGCTGTGCAAATCCTACTTGTCTGAGATCTCACCGTTTGGTCTGTGAGTGGAGGCAGAACGATGGTTTTCTCCATGGTGTTCATTACCAGCTTCCACAGCTCCTTCAGCACACGTTTTAGAACAGTTTTCTCACAAATCTTAGCAAACAACGAAAGGCTGGGAAGGGAAATGGCAGAAAAGATTATCATTCTGGAACTCCTTTATAGAAACCCCATTATTAGATAGAAAAACATTTTTGTATATCTACAAATTCTATTTCGTTTCCTTCTTTAGAGTTAGTAAAAAAAAAAGAAAAAAAAGCCAAACTGCGTTACTTGCTGTCCAGGAACTCCATGATTGGCTGCAAAACATTGTCTGCATCTTGGGCCACACTGCTGGCGTTCCCTACGTTCGACGTTCCTTTCACCTGAGCCAAGATGTCTCCCATCTGCTTCACATTTTCTTCAATATGAGGCTGGAAACTGTAAAGAAACAGATGGAGCTCTGTGTGAGATATGTACAGCAAATATTCAAGCTGTTGTGATTATTCAAATGTGCATGTGAGTAAATTCCCACCTGACAGCAAAGACCCTGCTCAGGTCATCCATTACATTGTTCAGCTTCACCTGAAGATCTTTCAGAATATCGCTGGCTTCCACACAGAGCTTCATTAAAAATACAAAAAAAACAACAACATATATTTGAATGTTAATAAAAACATTAATCAGAGCTTAAATACTTAATATTTTTTACTCATTTTAAAATATGAAAACTAAAAAGGCCCAGGAAGGTCAGTGTATAAATACTGATAAAAATATTATTGTTCTGTCAAGCTGCCGGGTAGCCCCTCCTCCCCTCCCATCAGCAGGGAGGCACCAGGTGGAACTAATCTCCCAGCAATTTGGGCGTGCCAGGGACCTCTAAAGAAAAGGACCAAGAACTGCTGCATGGCAGAAATGTAAGCAGCTCATGTTTGGAGACAGCCAAAATTCAGCTCCATTGTGACTGTGCAAACAAGTCCTTCTACAAAAACTCTGAAAGACAACCGGTAAGACTCTTAATGCCCTTGATTCTCTGGCTGGACTTTCAAATCAAAGAACTTTATTAAGGTTAATACAGACTGTGGTTGGACTGCTGTTGATTATTATTATTTGTGGAAATGTTTATGTTGGTATGTTAACAAATTGATTTAAAGAAAAGATGGTTTAAAAGTTGCATTTGTTTGTAGAAGTACATTTTGTTTTCTTAATTTGTATAGGATAACATTAAAAACTTTTGAAAATGTAGAAGTTAAAAACTATAGTTTGCTAAAATATTTAAATGAGCTAAAAAAATATACTGTTTAATTTATTGGCTAAAATTGATCAACTTAATTTGGCTAAGAAATAAATAAAAAATAAGTTACTTTAAATTGTTGATGTATTTAAAAAATATATGTTTGTTTATTTTAGAACATGGTGGGAAATATTTTATTTAAAAAGGGCTAAAATGCTTAAATTAATGATGGATACAATTTTGTATTATCTTAAATGACTAATTGTTTTGTGTTACCTTCTCTTTTTGAGGTTTTTCACCTGCCCACTGCCTACTGCCAATTTTCAATAAATAAATAATGAAATGACTATCAAATGGCTGTTCATTGAGTGAAATCCAGTTGGAATGTAGAGGACTATCCTTTTCAATTGGGGAATTGCACAAGAAACCACATTAATACTTGGCAGTGAAAAACCGTCTTATAAAGACTGGAGGACCAAGTAAAGTGACCAGCATATTCAGAGACTGTTTCCTGCCCTGCTGCTGGACAAAAATGGCTGATTCAGTAATGCTGGAGCAATTTAAGGCCACAAGAACATCAGCAAAGCGTCAATTTTCCCGTCTGGCCAATAATGTGCTACGAATGCACACAGTGATGTCTGAGGAGGAGCTCAGAGACAGTTTTGTAAAGCTCACAGCAGAAGCTGGCAGAGTTCTTGAGGCCAATGATGATGTTGAGGGACAATATACTGCAGAAAATGCAGATGAAGAGGCCTTAAGTGAGCACCAAAGGTCTGACTTGGACAAAACAGCCACGGAGTGTGAGAGAAAACTGCAAGAGTTAAAAGACCTCCTACAAAAGACATTATGGGCAAACTATGGGGAATATGAACTAACACAGGCAATTACAAATGCTGAGGATCAAGCAGATCATGTGGGAACTGTGGACCCAAGTAAAAACACAGAAGCTTATGACTTTAAGATAGGACAACTGGACAAACTTGTGAAGTCAGCGAAGGCGATGCATAGACATTGGAAGTGCTGGGCCCCCCTTGCAGAGCAAGAACAGTTCCAGAGTCGTATTAAAGGCCTTGAAACCATATTACCAAGACTGACTTTAAGAAAAGCAGACTTTATAGAAGCACAGGCCAGAGAAGAGCCCAGCAGATTAAGCACTGCTTCATTCAGTTATTCAGCGGCACCTGCCATTAAACTAAAGCCGGCTGCCCTCCCAAAGTTTACTGGTATCCGACGAGAGTTTCACCGGTGGAAAAAGGATTGGGAAGCGCTCCAGATGCAGGGAGAACCCACTGGATCCAAAGAAATAAAAAAATTCCAGCTACTTGACAGTTTAGATGAAAGGACCATACGGGACCTCCGTCTTACATCTCACACAACAGCTGAAGAAATTTTCCGGGTCCTAGAGAACCGCTTTGGAAATAAAACCACAATTGCCCTTGAAATAGTGGAGGAGCTCCAGAGACTCCCAGCTGTTAAAGGCCAGCAGCCCAGGAAGATTGTTGAGCTCATACAATCAGTAGAGAAGGCTCTAATTGACCTGAGTGAGCTTGGTAAGACCGGCGCCATAAAAACCCCTCTCGTAACAAGAACAATAGAGAGTAAACTCCCAGATGGCCTAAAAAAGGAGTGGCTTCTCCATGTATCCGGCAAAGATAATGAAGCCGAAGAAGACAAACGTTTTGACTACCTCTTGGCATTCCTACAAAGTCAAGAAGCCATCTATGAAAAGCTGGACCAGTTGAAGGAGGAGGAGTCAAAACCAAAATCTGAACCACGGCTAGCCCGGACTAGAACCTCCACTCAACCAAGCAATCAGGCTCAAGGATGAGTGGTCTGTGGTGATGTGAAGCACAAGAGAAGATTATACTTCTGCCAAAAGTTTCGCACGCTCAAACTATCAGAGAGGAGAGATGCTGTCAAAAAACTGGGTGCATGCAAAAAATGTCTGGAGATTCACCATGACAGTGAATACTGTAAACCAGAGTTCCTGTGAAAAAAGGCCCAGACTGCAGGGAACAAGCACAAAAGCTGAACCCATTATTACCTTGTGCGAGAGTTTAAGTGTCCGGGGGAAAAGGGTTTGCCCAAAGACCCAAAGACAGTACAGGGGGAGGACGTTAAAACCCCAACCCCAAAGAAGATTTCTTTAAAAGAGCCTGTAAACCTGAACTTGCAGAAAAGTGGGTCATGTTTTTTGCAACGGGTGGGGGCCCAAAAAACCTCTCTCATGTCTAATCGCCGGGTTTCTTTTTAGAAAAGGGGATTAAGGGAAAGGGGCCTGTCATCTGATGATTTTAAAAGAGCACAGCCAATGAAAGGGGAAAAAAAAGGGTTGGGACACTAATCGACTAGCATGGGATACAAACACAAAAAACCCCATAAATGCAGCTGATCAATTGAATCTTAGAAGTGAAGCTAAAACCCCTTGTCATCCATGGTGTGGGGGAATGAAAGTACAATTTTACAACAAAACGATACCTCCTAAAGAGGGGGGTCCGTACAAAAAAAGGGCAATTTAAAAATCCCCCAAATCCTCGTTATGGCTTGGACAGCATTGCGGGAAAACCACAAAATGTGACACCCCAAAAGACCCCCAAAATTTTTTTTCCAGACGTCCCTCTCAAAGAACTGAGACCCCCGAAGGGAAAATACAGTTTTTAATAACCCAAAAAGGGGGAAGGGCGGCTTGCCCCCACAGAAGATACTTTTACTGTTGGAGATCTTGTATTATGGGATGGCCCCTTTGGGAAAAAAAACCCAGTTCCCGGGACACCCCCTGGCCCCCTTTAAAAAGGGCCCCCCATCCCCAAGAAACACCAGTCCAGAACGGCACTTTCCCGGCCCCTGAGAACAGCTGGGGTGTTGTATAAAAACATGTCTGGGTCTTCCCTTTCTGTCAAGCATTGTGCTCCTTTGGCCCCCGGGCTCGCGAGTTTCTTGAGGGGTGGAGGTGGGAAAAGCATCGGCGCTCCCTGCCCCCCAATTTTGTGGAGGCTCCCGCTGCGGCAATTGCCAGCCCGGAGGCAAAAAAAGGGGCCCCTTGGCTGAAGAAAGAGAGTTAGGGGGTGGGGGAAAAAGGGGTCCTGAATATGCGGGTTTGGCAGACAAACACGGGTAATGCACTCACTGGCATGAAAAGATACCCAGGGTCATAGATCATCGACTTTTCCAAACAATATAAAAGCAGTGGGGGGGAAAACCCTTTTTCTAAAGAACTGGGAAAACAACTAAAAAAAAAAAAAAAAAAAAAACCCACAATGGAAAAAGGCCTATAGTGCTCAAGTGCACGAAGGGTTGACCCCCGGGGCCTGAAAAAAAGTTGCCCTGAGGGGGAAATTACTTCCCGGGAAAAGGGGAAAACCTTTTTGGTCAAAAGTCATCTCATTCCCCCTAACCCCCACTCATTCCCAACTCCAGTGAGACTCTTTCGGGAAAACAGCAGTCAAAAACCCCAAAGCCGGAGTCAAAACAAATCCCCTGATAAAAAGGGTCCAACCCCTTTCAACCCAACCCGGGCTGTCCTCCTCAAATTTCGCCAAGGCTCCTTTGCTGCCTTAGGGGGGACATCGGGAAAATGTACAATTCGGGTCGGGGCCTTGAGGAAAAAAATTTCCCATCGAAACCGATTCTGTGGCGTTTCTAGGAAGGACTTGAACAGTACCAATTACAAAAAAGTGAATATTGGTGACAAGCCAGCAGGGGCATGGGCACAACTCGCCAGAGAAAAGGACAGCAAACCCTGCCCCAGTTCAGCCCACCTAAAGGGGACGAGCGCCAGGTAAAAAAGAACACATTTTATGTCGACGACATCTTGACATCCCACAACTCCCTTAAAAAGACTTGAGGGTCATCCCCAAAATAAGGGGAGCTGTTCCAAGGGGCGGGAGGGTTCGTTTTTAAAGCCATGGGTCTTTTCGGGGCAAAGTAAAGGACAGAAAGAAGGGGCCCTTTCCCCAAAAAACATTGTTTTCCTGCAAATCAACTAAAAGGAAGAAAAATAAAAAGGGACTTGGTTGGGCTACTTTTGTGGATGAGGACAAGTTGAAATTTTAAATGGTGAGAGTCAACTTCTCCCCAAAAAAGAAAATGGGGTTTGGCCAAGATCTTTTGCAAAAAGAAGTTCGGCTAAACCAAAATTCATTTTAAAAGACGGATTTGCTAAGTAAAGTTGCTGGTTTGTACGCCCCAAAATAGGCCTGCCCCACACCAGCAAAAAAAAAAAAGGGGCCCCACCCCTTGGCCCGAAGAGCTTTCCAAAGGGAGGAAAAACCCCAAAAGTGAAATTTTGTAAAAGGATAAAATGGGACATTGCCTTTCTGATGAGCCCCGAAAGAGATGCAGTTTATCTATTTTGAGGAGTTTGCCTTAAAAAAAGTCAAGTTTCCAAGGG